AGAACTAATGAATTATTTTGGAGAATAGAATTTGTTAATACTGGTCGTAGTTAGATTGATATCAGGTGAAGAATTAGAACAATAGGATGAATAGAAAATAACAGTTCTGAAATCAGACGTAAGTTGTTAGAAGTTGCGTTGAATCATTAGGAAGTAACAGTTTTGATGTTAGAAGTTGCACTAGTCTGAATTTGCATTAGTCAGAAGATGGCGTTAGTCAGAAGCTGTGATGATCAGAAGTTGTATCTGGTCAGAAGATGGGATTAGTCAGAAGATGGAATTAGTCAGAAGATGTGATGATCAGAAGTTATACCTGGTCAGAAGATGGGGTTAGTCAGAAGATGTGATGATCAGAAGTTGTACATGGTCAGAAGATGGAGTTAGCCAGAAGCTGTAATGATCAGAAGTTGCATCAGATTAGAGGTTGCATTAGTCAGAAGTTATAGTAGTCAGAAGATTGTGTCGCCCAGAGGTTGCGTCATTAGAAGTTGTATATTTAGAAATAGCGTTGGTTAGAGATTGTATGGTCAGAAGTTGGATGGCATTTGTGTTGTTTTATGCAGAGCGATGAACGTTAGATGCTTAGAAGCTGTTGTTTGAGCTATAACAGTAGGAAAGTGACGATCTCGATGTTAGAGTTACAGGATGACAGTGTTGATTTACTGTGGGAATTAAAATACTGCTGAGTTATAAATGAGAAGTTATTAATAAATAAATGATGTTTGATGATTTATAAATAAATGGTGTTTGATGAATTATTTTGATTATTTGAGATGTTATTTTGAGATGTTATTTTGAGACGTTAATTTGAGATGTCTTTGAGATGTTATTTTGAGATGTTTTGAGATGTTTTGAGATGATAATTTGAGATGTTTGAGATGATAATTTGAGATGTTTTGAGATGATTTGAGATGTTGTTAACTTGGGTGTTATCATTACATTCATGGTTGTGTCGCATACATTGCATTTTTTTGAGATGGAGCTTATGCTCGTTGAGATGGCCTGGATTGGAAAACTTTGAGATGAAGGTTATGCCTTGTTGATGCCTCTATTAATTGGAAATTTTTTGAGATGGGAGTTCTGCTCCAATAGTACCACATGCATTTGCATAGTATTGAGTCGCATTATATGATTTCATAAAGAAGTGTATTTTGATGTTGATGAATGTATATTATTGTTAAGATTGTCGTGGATTATGAGATGAGAAGTGGTGATGTTGTTGATCTAATCTAATATATTAATTATCATGCACTTTATTATATTGTTAGATATCTCACCCCTTCTGTTTGAATGTTTCCCTTATGTTGGTAACGTGCAGGTAATCGAGAGTGAAGGTTGTATACCTTTAATAGTTCGAGTCGGTGTCATTGCTCTGATATGTAACACTCGGGGGGGATGAACGCTTGCTGTTTTTGCGTGAGTTCAAGGGCTTAAGCATGCATGTGTTTTGATGCAAATCACTTGTGCATAAGCAAGGAAAAGGATGTGAGGCTTGAGAGGGTCAGAATCACGCAAGTACAAGTTATGGCTATGTTGCTTGATTTTGAGGAAAAGTGAAAGTATGGTTTCAAGGTAAATTACAAGCATGGGCTGACTTGTTAGAGGCTTGAGACAAATTTCTTTTGGGTTATAGGTCGTGTGTGATCAGAAGAAAACAATTGCAAAGCTCAAGAACTGATTTTGTGCATAAAGCTACTTTTCCAAAATGGCAATGTGCACTTTCTTCCTAAAATGGAAATAAGCATGGGCAATGCATTGAATGATTGAGTTGAAGCCTTTAACAGTTGTGCAAAACATTAATTATGGAGTGCCAAACAAGTTTGAGCCCTGCAAAGCAAAGATTGTGCAGCCTAGCATGGATTTGCATTCTTGTTCATCATGAAATTCTGCCTTGTAAAACAACTTGAAACCCTAACTTCTGACCTTCGATTCTCCTTGCTCACAAATGATCTCAAGGAGTTCTTGGAAATTTCAGAAAGCCTGTAATGTGCTCTAAAACCCCTCTTTGAATCACTTTTTCAAAATCCAAATGGAACTATGTGAAACTTGGGTCAGAAGTTAGGTCAAAATCCTGACCAAAATGCTCAAAATTTCACTAAGTGTTTTAGTTTCATGACCATGATTTCATGGATTAATAACATGAGATTCAAGAGTTTTTAGGAGGATTTGTATAAATAAATGTTTTATATATCATTGAGATCTACAACTTTCATTTTGAGAGTTTCTTTTGAATCATCTTGCATCATGGTGGAAAATTGGCTCAAAGTTGTGAAAAATATGAAGTTTTCAACACTTAGAAAAATTTCTAAGTTTGGAAACTTTGACTTTTCAAAATGAAATCTTGACTTTTTGATTTCTTGATGAAAAAGTTTCATATTTTGACATGTTTTGATGAATTGTAATCTTTGACACTTGATTTTGACCAAAAAGTCAAAGTTTGACTTTTGAGTGTACAATTGACTTTTGATCAGTTGACTGAAAATCAACTATCAATCAATTGATCTTGAGGGATGTTTTGAGTCATGCCATTAGTTAAAAATGATGCAATTTAACTCTTGAGATCATGTCTCAAACCAATTAACCATTTGCTAGGTCAAAAATCAGAAGTTGCTCTTTCTCAATCAAAACCCTAATTTTGACCATTTTGTCCTTTTGATGATCTGATCAAATTTCTTGAGGAATTATGGTTCAAACTTGACCAAATGACATATATGAGTTCACAATGTTGATATGGATAAAAAATTATGAAGTTTGACTGTAAATTGGCCACAATTCACTTTTTCCCCAATACAGCTGATTTTTAGGTCAACTGATCAATTGACTGAGCAAAAATGTGATCCAAGACATGAAACTTTACATGAGAAATCTTGGGGGTCCATAATGATCCATGAAAGTCATATGAGGAATTAAAAGTTCAATTATCCTTGTGCAATCTCAAACCCTATTTTCAAGCATCAGTGCTTAAGGAGGTGTCTTGAGCTGGTCAACCCTTGTGTAGTCTTGAACCAAAGGAGATCTTGTGAGAAAATATTTGATAAATGAGAGGGAAAATTTTAGGGTACAAAAAAAGGCAATCAAAAAATATCATAGTCCCTCGATGACGCTACGATTGTTGCCTTACAAATGATCTTAGTCCCTCAAGAAAAATGCTAAGATATCTCACAACATTGTTATTTATGATTATACGATGATCCACGCACGTCCCTTCACATCCAAAGATAAGGCTACTTACCAATAAATGGTAAGATAGAAATTTCAAAGGAAGATAGAAATGAACAAAAAGACTTTTGAGTAGGTAGAACGTTCTTAGTTGCTTGCTCACAATCCATCTTCAAAACAAACATCTTTTCAAACACATCAAATACTTTAAAAAACATGAAATATTTTCAAAAAAAGTCCAACACTTTTTATGAATTATCATAGAGACGAGAATAATTACAAATTTTGCCTAAACGAATGCGCTTTTCAAAAATACTTTCAAAATACACCACAAACGCATTTCAAACAAAGCAATTTCAAAAGTGATCTAGCAAGCAACTAAGAGCCCATAGATAACTATGGACGAAAATGGTGCTAACACCTTCCTTTTCATAATCTACCCCCCAAACTCAAGAAAATATCTCAAAGGTCTTTCTTGTTCTTTTCACTCTTTCCTTATTGGATAAAAGAAAAGTCGGTGGCAACTCTTGCTATCCGCAACACTTGCGATAAAATGCAAAACAACCAAGTCAGTTCTCCCACCGCATTACATTCCTCTTTGTCTATTCTTCTTTTTTAGGTTTTGTATATGTATTTACTTTGAACATATGTATATTTATCGCCCATGGCGTTATATAAAATCTGCTTTTAAAAACTTTGTCGGTGTCTGCCTTAATCTTTCTGCTTTATGTTTGAATTTGGATAGTTATAGAAATATGCTACACAAATCTTGATTAGGGTTGAATATTTGTTAGTTTCTGGATTCTAGAGATAGATTTAGAGTTGACATTTACTGTGAGTATCAGAGCTTAATGATTTTGTGTTGTTTGTGCTGCGCTGAGAGATCGTTGGTGCAGGAATACAGTTGTTTTCTCAATTTGGGTTAGACATAATCTAGGTTGTGAGTGCTAAGTGTTGACATTATGGAGTATTGTAGGTGGAGTATAATTGGTCGATAAGTTTAAGTTTGTAATTAGTGGATTATATGCATGTCTGATAAGTTTCTTCTCTCTGAAGAATGGATTTATTTTCTTGTTAATAGTTTAATTCTCGCATTTACCTTTACAGCCATTTTAACCCAAACTCATTAACGCGATACTTTTCTAACGGAAATTCAGTAGTACTAATCCTTATGGAGACGATATGATAAAACTAAATACTAATTTACTTTTCTTTCCGTTTTACCGCTTCAGCAGAAGTGAAGGTTATAAACTGTAAGCACAATCAACTACTTTTTTTGTATTTGGGGATGCCTATTGGGGGTTGTCTGGTTCTTATTAAGTTAGTCATGTCGTCCATTCCAGTCTACTTTTTTTCCTTCTTAAAGGGGCCCTAAGGTATCATATCTTCTCTTGAATCTATTTTTAATAGTTTTTTCTAGGGAGGGAGTGAGAAAGTGAGACAATTTTCTTGGATTAAATGGAATATTGTTTGTTTGAAAAAATAAAATGGAGGTTTGGGGTTAGGAGGTTGAAGGTGTTTAACTTAGCCTTACTTGGTAAATGGTGTTGGAGGATTCTTAATGAGACGGGATTTCTTGGTATATGGTTTTATGTGCTCAGTATAGTGAAAAAATGGGCATTTATGTTTTGGGAATAGCGGTGGTCCTGTTTAGTGGAGGAATTTGATAAACATAAGGGATGGTTTCAGGTTGGTTGATAGAGGGTGGTTGATTGATAACATTGATCAAAGAATAAGAAATGCGTCTTCTACTCTTTTTTGGATAGATCATTAGCTTGATGGTACGTATTTTAAGGTAAGATTTAGTAGGTCCTGAGAATAAAAGGGTGATAGTAGCAGAAATGAATGTGTTGGAGTGGGGGTGGAATGATGAGGCGTGGAAGTGGTATAGGAGATTGCTTGGTTTGGAGGAGGAGTTAGTGGGGGAGTGTATTGAGAGGTTAACCTCAATTGTTTTGCAGGTGGACATAAAAGTTCGTTAGGTTTGAATTTCACATCCCTCTTCTTGCTACAGGTTCAATAATGCTTATGAAAATTTGTCTAAAGTTGACGTCAATATCAATCAGGCTAACTCCCAATTTTTATGATTAAAGACTCTAACGCTTAAGGTACCTATTTTTGTTTGGAGGTTGTTACTGATTTGTAGTCCGACTATGAACAATCTAACTAGGAGACAGATTCTTACCACGAACGATAAAAAATGTGTGGCGAATTGTGGCGTGGATGAAGACATAGATCATTTGTTTGTGATATGGAATTTTGTTGGTAGGTTGTGGCCTATTATTTTTAATTGGTTAGGATTCTCTATGGCGTCTCAAAGAACGATTTGTAATCATTTATTACAGTTTGGTGGACTTGGTGGTTTTTCAAAAAATATCTGGTTGGCTTTTAACACTATTTAACTTGCGGTGGTTTGGGTTATCTGGAAAGAATGAAATAGGCGTATTTTTCTTAATAAAGCGGAGAAATTACATACGGTATCTAAAAGGGTAAAGCTTCGGTCATTTTTTTGTGGTTAAAATTTAAATATGTTACCTTCAATTATGATTACCAACTATGAAAGTTAAATATTTTATCTTGCTTATCAACGGTTATGTAGACCGTTTTTTGCTGATTTTTTCAGAACTTTGGATTATTTCTTTTCATTTTTTATACATCTTGTTTTGGTCGTTAATATATATATATATATATATATTTCATTTTGGATTTTTCAAAAATAAAATAAACTGAAAAATTATCAATAAATCTAATAACAATAATAGATGATAAAGCATATACCGAAACCACTAAGGCACAATTTGATGATTTTATATATACACTACATGGTGTCACATTATCTCTTTTAATAACCTATTCTTACTTTTCCTTGTAAGCTTCCCCTGCTTCAATTTGTATATTTTGTAAAAAAATGTAGTTCACTCGTTAATAAATTTTGCTTATATGAAAAAATATGCATCATCCATAAACTCTTAGTCACACATGATTTTAAATGAAAAAGTTCCATCCTAGTATGCAATCAGTATTATGCACTCCCAATTATATAGTCCTAAGTAATCTCATGCTTATGTCAAGCCACTTCAACCTTAGAAACCTAATCCACTATTGTTATTGTAACAAAATAGTATATAAATGAGTACCATTTTGATACTTATTCACTCTCAAGTGAAGTGAAGAGAATCTAAGTTGAAAAAAAAAAGATGGAACTTGTGATAGTTATAAATTGTATTTGCGACGACAGTTTATAATGAAAGTTAAGTTGAACTTGTGAAGGTTATGTTTGGTCTTGTTAGAGTGTAGCCTCAGCAGCAGCAGCCATTGTTTATTTAGCTCACTATGGAAATCCAAATACTACTTGGTTTCCTTTCGGTCAACAATACAACTACTTCTACGGGCGCATTTCGGGTTCGCTTATCGGCTCTTTCATTCGTGTAATAATCCTGATTTCTTATATATGTTTGCTTACTCTTCCCCACTTTAAAATTGTTGCGCGCGGAGGATACTCATTTTATCATCGAAAGCATAGATGAAATCATTTGCATATTTTATTTTACTTTAGAAAAAAGTCCACATGGAATAAAAAGTAATTTTAAGAGAATGAATGTTTTAGTAAATACTGGTGTCTTTATTTGTTTTTTCATGATTATATTGCGAGTAATTTATATAGAGTTTCCAAATATTTGAATTCACTCTAGTAATAATTACTAAAAACTCATACAGAGTGAGTACTTGTTAGCTTAGAATTTTCAACTAAGGTTTCAAGAAGATGTTTGTCGAAGTTGGATAGCAAGATAGTCAAAATAGAACCGGAAAGGGAGATGTCGAAGGCGGTTAATGCAAGACACATACAAGATAGCTATTACGCAACAACATAAAGACTGTATGAACATTTAGTCAAATTTGATACTAAAAATATTATAAGTGTAGTCGAAGAAATAGACAGTTAGCAAGGGTAATTTTCTATGAGAAGTTGTAAAAAACATGGAGAAGAAATCAAAAACATTTTGACAAGGAACTAATACGTGATAAGCTATGAGTAGTCGAGTGTTAAATAGGAGTTATCTCTATTTGTCTATTTAAACATAATTTATATTCAGTTTAAGGGGTTATATTTACAACATTGTAAGGAGAATACTCAAAGTATCGGCGTTTAAGAGAAACGAATGACTTTCAAAAAATATATACATGCGTTTTATTTTAAGTTCAAAACAATTTATCTTTCAAGTTTAACATTCATTTTCCTTTTTCAAATTGTCTTTATTTTGATTTGATTTGTTTTGTTTTACACATTCTTAACTTTTATTTAGTCTTATATCCAGTACAAACACAACTATTTGAAAACTCTCTGATTTTACAAATAAATTTTAATTAAGAAGTTAGAAATTGTTTATCAGAAATCTGTGCAAACAATACTATGGTTAGTCAGTTGAAAAGAAGAATATGACTTAGTCAGTTGAAATTGAATTTGGGAAAAATTTATTATATTAATTATAGGACAAAGGCGGCTGATATTAATCTAATATATAATAGATATTTTATTTCTCATGTCACAATCATTAGGCTGTTATGGATTTATTAGTCTAAACAAAGTGCTTAATCTGATCTGCTTCGTGTCATAGGCCTAACATTCCCAAGAATTCTAAATTTAACTTTGAATCAACATTGATGTCATCGTTTTGATTTAGACAATGTACAAATAAAGAATCATATCAACTTTGAAAATCATCTTTATAATTAATATTTAGAAGCAAATCTTAACTCAACTAACAGAGGTCAATATTATTAAGTTTGACATTATTATCAGAGTTCGAATCTGAAATTCATAATTATATGTGTGAGTTTTTAATAATTATTATCAATTCATTTGCAGATAAAAAAATGTACAAATTTTTATTAAGAGCCATTAAAATTGTTACAAATTGTATAAACAGTGTCAACAAAGCATTGAAAATGAAAATCCATTCTATGGTATAACATATATTTGACATAGTTCAATTTCTACTTATAAATAAAAAAAATTGACATAGTTTTTTAAACAAATCTAGGCAATCTAAATTCTTATCCTAAATAATTATGCATTTGCTTCACAAATAATGGCTGATTTGTGATGCTACTTTGTGAATCTGCTTCATAATGGTTACTCATTTCAACTTGCTGAGATCTTACAAAAGGGTCTATCCCAATGTTAGAGTTATTGATTTGAAAATCAAAAGTTGAAGCATCAGATAACATTGGAGCAAGGTAATTCATATCCAAAAGATAAGTAAGTGAACAACTTCTTGTAAGGTTCATGTTCATCATTTCTTGTTCATCTTTATTCGCTATCGAAGAATCATTAAATTGAAGAGTTGAATAATCCTCTTTTTGTTGCAATGTTTTTCCCATGTGTTTCTTCTTATAGATCCTGCACAAAACCCAGTCATCTAGCTGATGACACATACAAGGAAAAACACATTAAGCATAGCAAAATATTAAACTCTTGAAATTCAAATAGGTTAAGGTTTGAAGAGGTTTACTCTCATGGATCCAATATGTTTGCTGGTTTGCTTTTGTGATCCGATTAATCGGTACTCGTGCATAATCCAATTAGTTTTGATTCCCTTTGGTGGCCTACCCTTGTAAAAGACTAAAGATTTTTTTACTCCAATTTGCTTTGATCCACTATTGATTGGTTTGTCTGTGCCAGTAGCTTTCCAATATCCAGATAAAGTTGCTCTATTAGGCCTCACCCCATTTGGGTACTTTCTTTCTCTTGGACTAAAGAAATACCATTCATTCTCAACAAATTCAGATTTATCTGCATTCAATAATCGGTTAGTACATAATCACGAATAAAGCCTATGTAGCTATATAACACCATCCCTTCAGATTGAAGACGTGTCTGATACACAACCGAGTCAAACATAATTGATTAGTGTCAGTATTATATCTGGTGTTTGTGTCAGTGTTTCGTTGATAAAGAAAGGTAATAACATTGCATACAATAACTGGTTAGTATCTAATCATGCTGAGTAGTTATATATCATCATCACTTCAGATTGAAAACGTGTCTGATATACGACACAGGCGCATGTAATAATTAGTTTCACCTTTTTCAAATTACTACTAATGTAATATCAACATGTTAGTGTCAGAGATGTGTCTGGTGTCTGTGTTAGTGATTTATTGGTAAAGAAAGACATAATATGTATGTATATACCTGGCAATTCCCAAGGATCAAATTTATAAATATCAACTTCTGGTATAATAGATGCAGGGCATGGCTTTGATGTGGCTTGATTACAAAGGTAATACACAATTAACTCCTCATCAGTTGGATGGAACCTAAAGCCAGGAGGGAGTTCAGAGCTTATAGTACTACTACTCTCCATTGATTCAAAAAAATTAGTATTGTGTATGATCCTACAAAATGGCTTCTTCTGAAAATATGACACATGAAAAGGGTTAGAAGATTGAAGGTGTTTGAAATGTTTGAAAGGAAAATGGTGGCTGTTTTATGGTTGAAAGGTTTTTGTCGTTTATGAGGAGTTGCATGGCCTTGATTAGAGGACAATGATTCATAGTAGCATGCGTCATGCCATTACTATGCTCCAAAATGGGACCACTATTATTTTGAATGTATATCTGTTACATTGGTTTTTGGACATGATTCTTTGAATCAATAGTTGGATGTGTATGTTTTGATTTGGTTACACTCAATTTGATGAGAATATTATTGGTATATTTGAAAATTATTTTGTTTCACATTATAGTTTTCAGTCAGCAGCCAACTTCTAAAAGGTTTGGATACTTTGAGGATGTTTTGACCAAAATAAATATACATTTTTAATTAAGATATACTCTCTCCATTCTCTTTTATAAGAAAATTTTGATTTTTTAAATCCGTTGAATAAATAATGTATTTAAATTATATATAAATTAGATACATCAATTATTAAATTAATCTAAAAATATTTTTATTAAGGTTGAATTTATTCTAGTCGATCTAACTGATCCTCTCCCATTAAAATATATTAAGAAATATATTTATTCAACTACACAAATAAAATATATTCAAAAATGATTAAAGGGTAAGGATGAAAATGTCACTTGAAACAATCCAGATCCACTTTTAAAATAATGATGGAGTTAGAACAGGTGTCTTATACACCCTAGAGACATTTATAAGTAATAAAAAAATATTTTTGCTATTATTAAAAAATTCAATTAAATGTAATTAATTTTTTAGATTTTAATAAAAATATTAATTATATTAATTATAATGTTTTTTTATTAAATTTAATAAAATGTTGGAAAATAAAATAAAGAAATATATTAAAAATTACAATATTAAATCATTTGATAATAATTAACTTTTATTTATAATAATGATCAAAAATTAAATAATTTTCTTTACTTATAAATGTGTCATATATATTCACCCTCCAAAATTCTTAAGCCTTGTTTGGTAGTGCCAAAAAAGAGGTCCCCAATCAATGAGCTTTTTAAAAACCATATTATGAGAATGGCCACAGAGATATGCACATGTGGGGCTTAAATATTTTTTTCTGGCTTTAAATCGATAAAACAAGATTTTAAGGTTTAATCAAAATAAAATTGGGGTCAAATCAGTTATTTGAACATTCAATTTGTCGTAAGAGTAATACTTATTTAACCACAACCCCAAATAAATAAAATCAGGCATGTAACACCCTATTCCTCCGGCACTAATTTAATAAAATTAGAGTAAAATAATTCATAAAAACAAATATTAAAAATAGGATACCACATTTTATAATATATTAAAAATTTATTCATACATAATTGAATTGACACATAATATATTTTTTGAATGAACCGACAACAGTTTTCAACATAGTTTTCAATTTCAATTTTATTAACGCAGCGGAAAAGAATTCAAGTTTGCCATTAAAATTTCTTCAACTATCATCAAACAACATTTAATCAAACAAAAGGGAGTTCATAATACTAAAACATAATCACCAAAATAAAACAACGAAATAACAAAATAAACAAGCGTTCATTCACCTGGTGTTACGTATCAGAGCACTGACGCCAACTCAAAAATAAGAAGAGCAGCATCTTTTAGACTCCGCAACTCGGACAACTTTTAGTTTTCTGCATGTTATCCACGTAGAGGCAACATTCAAACAGAAGAGGTGAGATATCATAACAATATAAAAGAAGACATAATAACGAATAGATAGCAATTTAAGCACAGATAATCATACTTCTTTCATCACACTTTTTTCATTCGCCGTACCACAAGGTACATCAATATATAATCAAATACACAAACAACACATAGCATCTGTCATAATCTAATTCATACTTCTTCAACATCCAAAACATCAAATTATTAATAATAATGTAATGCTATGTAACCAACATTGACTCAAATGTATATGGTACCAAGAGGGCATAAGCCCTCATCATAATGCCAATTTAGGGCAGCAACAGGGCATAAGCCCTCATTATCACGCCAATACTGGTCATCTTACAGAACATAAGTTCTTATCATGAATGCATGTGACACCGACATGCAACAACATAAATTACATTGATATTCCTACTCGTCAATGCCACGCCAATACAGGCCATCAACATCATCATTATCATACAATATATCATGTAAAACAATCGAATCATTCATACAACATCATCTTATTCAATCGCAACATAAATCATGGCACATTACTCAGGAATATACGCAGATAGGTATCGGTTTTAGTCAAATAATTATCTACTATGTTCCAATTTATTTTTATAGGATAAAAAATCATTTTAGCTTAGTATAGGTCCAAACGGAACGTCAAACGGACACCGAAGTCAAAAGTTATAGATTTTTAAAGTTTCAAAAACATTTCGGTTCAACACAGACAAGAAACCAGTTTCCCCAAAATTGGAAACTCGTCTCTGCATTTTTACAGTAACCTACGTGACAAAACACGTTGAAGAAATCGGTTTCTTCAAAACTGGAAACTTGTTTCTTCTCAGACAGAAACATGTTTCTTCTGTAATTTCTCGGGCGGAAACCTGTTTCCCAAAAACTAGAAACTGATTTCTGCTTCGCAGAACATATTTTTCTGTTATTTTACATAACACGATTCATGTTCAAATTAACCCCAAAACATCATAATTTTCAATTCAAATCAGTATCATATGATTCCATAAAAACACACACTCCATACTCATCATTCCAATACAACTCACATCAACAATTTTAACCAAATTTATCAGATTTATAATCAACAATTCATCAAAAAACAAAATCCCAAAAAGAAATAGTAATGAGAAATCAAGAAAACACAATCATGGAACCTAATCACTACCATTCTCCATCATCATGCAATTTGTTATAGAGTTAGAACCCCACCCTTACCTTGGATTTTGCTGGTTCCTGACTCTTACGGTGAAACTTCTTGCCCTAGTCTCTTTCTCTTCTTCTCTCTTCTACGAACATTTTCTCTGTTTTCTACTCTTTTTTTCTCCTCTCTATTCTCAACTCTATTTTATTCCAACACTGACCCCGGGACCTCTAAATCATAATACAAACCTTGTCCTTCCCAATTAAATAAATAATAATTCTATTATTCTACTAACAATATTTATTTAATTATTATACTATAGTATTAAATCTAATATTTTAATTCAAATAATGTCAATATACTATTTATCTCTCTACACCTTATGTTTCTACACTTTTGGTCATACACCGCCATTATCTTAACTCCAATAATTTCTAAGTCATCTAATTCCCAACAAATGCATCACAACACAACAAAAGATTCACTAAAGCGCACAAATACATCACATCACTTAATTAATTTTAAATAAAATAACTCAACGAAATCGGGGTGTTACAACTCTTCCCCACTTAGAATATTTTCGTCCTCGAAAATTACCTGATGTGAGTAACTCTGGATAAACCTCTCGCATCTTGCTCTCTAATCCCCATGTCACATTCTCTCCAGCGGCTCCACCCCAAATGACTTTCACAAGAGTAATCTCTTTGCCCCTCAGCTTCTTTATTTCACGATCCTCAATATTTATAATTATTGTTTCAACAGTAAGATTATCCCGTACTTGTACACCATCCATCAGGATCACATGTGACGAATCTGAAATATACTTTCAGAGTTGCGACACATGGAACACATCATGCAAATTCGACAGATTAGGTGGCAAGCCCATTCTATATGCAACATTCCCCACTTTTTTTGAAATTTAATACGGACCAATAAATCGAGGAGTCAGCTTCCTTGACTTTAAAGCACGATCTACACTGGTTATCGGAGATACTCTCAAGAATACATGGTCTCCCTCTTGAAACTCAATATCCTTCCTCCTCTTATCATGGTAACTCTTTTGCCTACTCTGTAAAATCTTCATATTTTCTCGAATTAATTTCACTTTCTCTGTAGTCTCTCGCACAATTTCAGGTCCGAGCACTACACTTTCACCAAATTCATACCAACACAAAGGTGTTCTGCACCTCCGACCATACAATGCCTCGAAAGATGTCATACCAATACTAGAATGAAAACTATTATCATAAGTGAACTCACTCAGTGGAAGATAACTATCCCGTGTACCTCCCTGTTCAAGAACACAAGCCATCAAAAAATCTTCGAACGACTGAATAGTTCTCTCTGTCTGACCATATGTCTGTGGGTGATACGTAGAACTTAATCTTAGCTTAGAGTCTAACGCATCCTACAGAATCTTCCAAAAATAAGAAGTAAATCACTGATCTCTATCAGATACAACACTTGATGGAACACCGTGTAGCTTTACAATTACGCATATATAAATCTCTGCCAACTTAGGCACAGGAAAATTGATATTAATCAGAATAAAATGAGTTGATTTTTTTAGCCTATCAACAATCACCCAAATTGTATTATGTCCTCTCAGAGTATTTTCCAGCCCCGTCACAAAGTCCATCGATATGCTATCCCACTTCCATTCCGGGACATCTAATGGTTTCAACAATCCCACATGCTTCTGATGTTCGACTTTTGACTTCTGACAAATCCAACACGTATACACGAACCGCGCCACATCTTGTTTCAATCCGGACCACCAAAATAACTTCTTTAAGTCATGATACATCTTAGCAGCTCCCAGATGAATAATTTGATACGGTGGGAGAACTGACTTGGGTGTTTTGTGTTTTATCGCAAATGTTGCGGTTTAGCAAGAGTCGCCACCGACTTTTCTTTTATCCAAAAGGAAAGGTGAAAAAGCACAGGAAAGACCTTTGAGATTATTTCTTGAGTTCGGGGGGTAGATTATGAAAAGAGAAGGTATTAGCACCCTTTTTATCCATGGTTTCTCATGGACTCTTAGTTACTTGCTAGATCACTTG